GCTTTGGCCTGCAGCGCCTTGGCATCCTCTCGGAGCCGGTCAAGGCAAGCTACCGCCTCGTCGGCCGAGGCAGCCTTCTGCTCCAGCGCTTGCAGGCGAGCTATCTCCCAGTACTGCCTCTTATGGCTTTCCATAAGCATGAAGGCACTCTGCAGAAGGAAAACAAAGGTCAGGCAAAAAACTCTACATAGACGAAGAAAGACAAAAACATAAGGACAATCACTTACTTGGACGAGGAGGTCCATGCCGCCCTCATAAATCTTCGGGTCCTCGAGCTTCTTCAAATGAGCCCGATCTTTGGCCGGCATGGCCTTGGCCAGGACGACGTGGCCGGGGACGAGCTCATTAAACACGCCCCCGCCGACGGGGTACTCTATCACCTTCTGATAGGTGGCACCGGCAATCTCCTTGCCGGCCCTCTGCGTCCGTGGCTCCTGGACGAGAGGAAGCGCTGGGGCAGCATCGTCAGCAACAGTAAGGTCCACGACGGGACCACCATCGCCCACGCTGGGGACAGTAAGAGTACCGGCCTCACTAGCCGGAGAAGGGGAAGGAGCCCTCTTCGTCTTCTTAGAGACGCTCACACCGGCCTCGGTCAACTTTTTCTGGCCGTCAGTGGCCGGTCTCTTTTTCTTTGAGGGGGCAGGCTTTGGGGCCGCGTCAGCAGTAGCCCTGCTCCCACCAGAAGCGGCACGTCGGGCCGCCTCGGCCGCCTTAGCAGCCAGCTCCTCAGCTGCCTTGGCCTTAGCAACGGCCATTATGGAACGCCGGTCCATGACAAAGTCTACAAAGGAAAAACAAACAGATTAGTAAGGCAAAGGACAAAACGTAAAGACAGAAAACCGAAGAAAAATTACCATCGGCCTCAGCAGGAATGCCCAAATCCGGGCCATCGGCCTCCTCAAAGGTGGTGGTCATCCTCGGCCAGAGTTGGAGGTCATCCTCCTTATCTCCATACAAGTGATATCTGAAGAAGCCGAGGGCCGTCATCTTGTATTCAGTGACGTACTCTTTTACGCTCCTCGGCCCCCCTTCCAGGAAAGCCTCCACCTGAGCGTCCAAAATAGAGCTCTTCGGCGGGTCATGAAGATTGAACCTCCCGGTATGGCCGAGGGAGGGGAACTCAGTGCCACTCTCACCAATGGACACAAACACGAACTTGCTCTTCCACCCATGAATGGACGTAGGCAAATCCGTGAAGCTCCTCTTCCTCGGCAGCTGTTGAAGAGTAGCATAGGCCGCACAGTTCTTGTGGCTTCCTCGGCCGATCTGGTACAAGTTCATGAATAAGGCCGTGGTCGGCCTGTAGCCCAACTCCTCACACCGAAGCAAGAAGCCCACTATCAAGGAATAACTGTTCGGCGTCAGCAAGGCCGGAGGAAGCCCCACCATGTCCAGATACTCAGTGACGAAAGGGTGAAGGGGGAACCTCAACCCCTTAGCAAACCTCATCGGGTATACTCCAAAGTATCCCGGTGGCGGAAGTAGAACATGGTCCGTCGGCCTGGGTGCCCTAACCCGCCCGAACGGCCCCACGTACATCTGGGCGACAAGATAGTCGGCCGCACTGCTCTCCGGCTTGATCAGGAATATGTTGGTGAGGTCCAAGTAGGAGAGGCCCGGCCCATTCTTCGGCCTCCTCACCCTCTTCGGCTTAGCTGCGCCCTTCACGGCAGATACCGGCCTCGGGCACGGAACGGCAGCAGAAGTGGACGCCCCGTCCACCGCTCGGGACGCGCCTACGTCCTCACCCTCTGAAGAGGAGGCGGACTCCTCGTCCTCGCCTTCCTCGTCCATCAGCTCTCCGGATTTGTAGGGGCTCAAACGCTCTATCTCCTCTTCAAACTCCTCGAGCACCTCGTAGTCAAGCGACCTCGTGGAGGGCTGGTCGTCGTAGGGGTAGTAGTCCTCGTTCAAACTCTTCATTACTACTACTACGGGCTTGAGGAGAGCAACTTAAGATCTAAAGGTGTTTAAACGCCTAACACTAGATCAACTACCTAGGAAGCAAAGTATGAAAAGCGAGGAAGATCGTGATGAACACTAACCTCGAACAACGAAGAACAGGCTTGGGAGTTTATCTCTCTAGAAAATCGGCCAGCACTTCGACAAATTCAGAATGCAAATGTGATTCCTCGTCGGAGGGGAAGGGGTATTTATAGACCCCCCCACCAACGGTCACTACACGTGGCACTCTCCCAATGGCCACATCAACGGCCACCACTGGGAGGCCACCACGTCACCAACGGGCCAGGACCAACCCATATCAACGGCCCACCGGCAAATCAGACTCTACGGCCTACACACGCTCAGCGGCTTTACAACTGCCAGCAAGCGCCCACAACGTCCCACTTGCTCACCAAGATCACAAATGCCAAACAATAAGAGGATGGTAACGGCCAGGAACGTAACGGCCACAGAACAAAGGGGACAAATAGCCCACAGCCTTCGGCTCCTCGTAATAACCCTTGATGATAACTCTCTACAAGCGATCTGCGCACAAGGGTTCTCCCACAGGGTTACCTTGGCCAGAAAATCGCCATGAGAGTTGGATTCAGGGGGACTACGGCGAGACCGCTTCGGCCAGGGACTCAAGCAACTCCTTCACCTCTCACACTCTTCGGCATGAAGCAGTGGGGGACTGGGGGACTACACCGGCCTCAACGAAACAAAGAGTATAAACAAGGTAACCACAAAACATGGCCACATCATCCACACAGCACAACGGAACTTCATCGGCCAAAGGCCCATAACGTCACTAGCAACGGCCAATAAGCCACTAGAGGCAAGGACACTCGTCGTCCTCCGCCAACGATTAATCTTGACGGGCTCTTCGGCCAAAAACACGAAGGCCAACCAGCAACGGCCAAAAGGAGTGCGCAAACACCCTCATCGGCCACACAAAGGAAATGAGGCCATCGTCCTCAAAACAAGGAACAACCTCAACGGCTTCACCGGCCCAAACATAAATTTCAACCACCAACGTCCAGGAAAGGGAAAGCGTGCCTTCAACGGCCACCATTGAAAGAAGGACACTCATCGTCCCAAAACAAGTTAAGGAAACAACGGCCTCCCCGCCCACAGCGAGGAACAGGTAACGGCCAAAGCACAGAACAGGATCACCAAAGAGGAAACAACGCCAACGCCGCAACGGCTAACGGCCTGGAAATGCCCGCGTCGGCCAAAAGCAACAAAGCACAGAAATCTACTCTCCTTCACTTCGTCTACGTCTCAGCTTAGAGAGTGGGGGACTCCTGATGGAGTATATGGGTCTGAGCCCCAGGACCCACATACTCGGAAGAACAGAAAGCACAAGACAACAGAGTGGCGCCCTCGTCGGCCAAGACGCCCCCGTCGGCCGAAAAGGAGCCAACTCGGATTATGGTCCTGAGTCCAAGGAACCCCGGGTGCCCTCGTCGGATTTTACACTTACTCATCTGTACAGCCCATTAGAGGCTTTGTATTCGGCCCAGTAGCGGTCCAGTTGTAAATGGGCCTCCCAAGCCCAAGGCTTGGGAGCCCAACCCTAATTTTCTCTATAAATACTCCCCTTGGGAGTAGTTATAGGGGTTACAAATTCATTCTATTGAAGCATATTATTGCACTTCTCTCTCTAGCTCTCACTTCTCTCTAGATATACTCTATCATACACTATAGTAACTATTGGTCAGTTACTTGTACACAGTGTCTACTCATATTTTTGTCCAACAAACATAACTAGTAATATACATAACATTTTTTCAAAAATATTTTAAATACATTAGATATAAAAACATAAAAATATTATTATTATTAGGATAATAATTATATAATTTCATATTAGTAATTTAAATGTTATACAGAGTAATATGCATTCGTATGGGGAGAGTTAGAGAGTGTTTGCAATTGCTTTTACTTTTTAAAAATAATTTTTTAAAATAATTTTGGAAAAATGTTTAATAGTAAAAGTTGGTAGTGCTAGAGAAAAAAGTGAATTTGAAAAGTAAAAGTTGGTAGGGTTTCGTAACATATGTTTTTTTTGTAATAGAAAAAGTAAAAGCAGGATCTAACTTTTATGTTTTAAATAATAATTAGAGATTGTAACTTGAAAACGCTTTTTTCAACTTCTTAAAGTTAAAAACTCAAAATCACTCATTTTTAATTTTTTGCAAACGTATATTTTTAATTACCTATTTCATTTTAGGACAACCACTAAGGGTCTGTTTGCAATTACTTAAAAAAAGCGCTTCTCGACTTTTGGTTTAAAAAGCTAAAAATAGTGTTTTCAAGTGACAACTTCTAATTAAAAAGACGCTTCTCGGCTTTTAGGTGAAATATAATTTTCTTTTTCTATTACATCAAAAACACTTATTTTATCAAACACTAGCAACTTTTATTTTTCAAAATCACTTTTTCTCAAACAATATCAACTTCTACTATTAATCATTTTTTCAAAATCAATTAAAAAGTGTTTTTTTGCACACTCCCTAAGTTGTGCGGTTATGCCTACGTCCTTGCATCATAAACTATGTGTACCATCACTCTGTATTTCATGATGAAATCAATTTACCAATTTATTAATCAAAAATGATGTTTGCACACACTCTTATACACACTTTTGTACACACCTATGTCTGTGAAAGCTTTTTTTTTGTCTGTGAAGATTGATTCACAGAAAATGTTTTGCACAAACAAAATATGAGTACAAGGGTGTACTCAAGAATGGTTGTTTATTAATAAGATCCGTATGCAAAATGAATAGGACTGCGTGCAAGTGGACCCCGCTATGCTTATCTAAAAATATTAACGAGTTTTCTTGACCTGTATAAATACAATTTAATCATTTTTTTCAAAATCAATTAAAAAGTGTTTTTTTGCACACTTCCTAAGTTGTGCGGTTATGCCTACGTCCTTGCATCATAAAATATGTGTACCATCACTCCGTATTTCATGATGAAATCAATTTACCAATTTATTAATAAGATCCGTATGCAAAATGAATAGGACTGCGTGCAAGTGGACCCCGCTATGCTTATCTAAAAATATTAACGGGTTTTCTTGACCTGTATAAATACAATTGCGGATTCGAAGCATCAGTTTTGGGTTACCAGCACGACTCCTCCCATTTCTCTCGATCTGAACAAGTCTCTTTCTATCTTGTTATTGCCTTCTCCCTGTCTTTCATGGATCCTTACAAGGTATTGAACTCCTAATGTGTTAACATGTGCTTCCATAACCGCTCTTTTATTCTTTTCTATTTCCGCGTATTCTTTCTATTTAAGTTTAATCAATACATGTATAGCCACATAGATGAATCGAATCATTTCCCGTGGATATATTTGTTTATCTCCGTGCGGTTTTGATGCAGAACCGTCCATCCAGTGCCTTCAATTCACCTTTCTTTACCACCAACTCTGGTGCTCCGGTGTGGAACAACAACTCCTCATTAACAGTCGGAACTAGAGGTATTTCAGTATACATTTCTAGTACGGAGTAGTTCCTTTGTCATTGTTTCTTTTCTGGATATTGTATCCTAGTTTCACTGATGAGTTTATGCTCATTAACTTCTTATTGGTGCTTATAACCACATTCATAATTTGTAATTCATTTCTTCAAAGAATTCTGAATGTCAATTCCTAGTGCCACAGTAGGTAGGTAGCTATGGCTTCGACTTCCAGCTTTTTATCTATATTATGCACAGATTCGAACCCTATATTCGAGTACTATGCATGTTTATTCTCTGAAACGGAAATTAAATTTTTTAAATAAAATACAAGCTCTGGCTTACTCTCTAGTCTCTATGAGTTTGAATCTGAAATAATAATTACTTCTGCTGTCCGCTATAAATATTTAAATCAATCTCTAGACTTGTCTGGTTCTTTAATATCCAGATTAAGAGAGCTGGGGTTTGGTTTGAGCATTACATATGTTCTTTTCTTAACCATTCACATTGAGATGCTTTGTTTAGTTCCTTTTAGGAGTTTCCGCTGAAACATCACTTTTCAAATTTGTTCAGGACCAGTTCTACTTGAGGATTACCACTTGGTGGAGAAACTTGCTAATTTTGACCGCGAACGGATTCCAGAACGTGTTGTACATGCCAGGGGAGCGAGTGCCAAAGGGTTTTTCGAGGTAACTCATGATGTTTCTCACCTGACATGTGCAGATTTTCTTCGGGCCCCAGGGGTTCAGACACCTGTTATTGTTCGATTCTCTACTGTTATCCATGAGCGTGGAAGCCCTGAAACCCTAAGGGATCCCAGAGGCTTTGCAGTGAAGTTTTATACTAGGGAGGTAATGCTGATTAATTATTTGTGCCCTGGGTTCATCCTCATTCTTTTGTAGTGAAGTTATCTTGTATTTACTTAAAATTATCATTGATCATGAGTAATCTTTATTATATATCATTGATGGCAACTGGGAATTATGCTGAAACTAATATCACTCTTTTCCTTCATAATTTTTTATATCTTCTGCATGGGTCTTCTATGTTTTTTTATAGAACAACTCACAATATAAAAACACAGAGATGAACAATTCTGGGCAATTTCGAGAGTGCCAGAACTCTCCAGGGTCTACTTGCTAACTGAATAACAGCCTCATTCTTACTCTACTCTCACCCCTTTTATTTCTTTCTTTCCCCCAACTAACGTCCCACCTGTCTAACTAACTCTTTATTCTACTCCTTTGTGTATACACCTTGCCAAAATCCCTATTGGGATCAATAATAACAGTACTCTGAGTGATATCATTTCTTCCCCCCTCTGAAAACACCATGCCCTCAAGGTGGAGCTCAGGGAACTGTTTCAGAAAGTGCTGTAAGTCTTTCCAGAAATCTTGAAATGCTGGTAACTGTCTCCGGTGAACTAAAATCTTTCTTTCCTCCTGCATCTGCTCTGCAGTCCAACAATTCTTCTGGTTGCACCTGTAGTTCCCATTTTTCAGTCAAACATGCTGGAAGAGGCCGACAAGGAATGCTGGGATTCATAGCCTTTTTTAACAGAGATATGTGAAAGATAGGATGCACTTGATGGTTTCTGGTAAATTCAACTTGTAAGCCACTTAATTGATTTTTTCAACCACCTCAAAAGGCCCATTGTACCTTGGGATTGACTTTTGGTTGATTTTTTAGCTAGACTTTTCTGTTTATACGGCTGAATCTTTAAAAAAACTGATCCCCTACCTCCAATTGACTATCCTTCTTCTTCTTCTTGTTAGCATATTGTTGCATTTGATTCTAAGCCTTAGTTAGATTACCCTTTTAATTCGTCCAACATCATGTTCTTTCAGCCATTAGTCTTGCCACCTCTTCTACAGCAGTTAACTCAACATCTCCCTTAACTAAAGCTGGTGGATCCTGTCCATTTAAAGCTTTGTATGGGGTGGTTTTCAATGAAGCATGAAAATTGGTATTAGACCAATATTCTGCCCAAGGAAGCCACTGTTACAGATGCATTCTGGGGCGAACAATAAAACATGCTAGCGTTGGTCCATGCCCTCAATCATGTGTTTCAATGCCTCGCTCCTAGTGCATCGTTGCGTGTCGCTAAATTGTTAGAATTATCGGCAGCGATGGCCGCCTTGTTCGCCTCTGTCTAGAAACTGACCGCAGATTCCTCCTCAGTATCTCCCCGCTTTGCTCGACAACACGAACGAGACACCCGATGGCAGGATCATGATGACTTGGTGGTTCCACGTTTTTCCAGGCTTGATTTTCTCATTTTCCACAATGTGACGGTAAGAGCGGCCCCTTGTCTGGCTTAAACGTTGTGAAAGTTTCTTTGTTCACCAGTTTGGGTCTCGCAACGTTTCACATGATTGGGACAGCCCAGCTCTGGGCTGACCAGCTTGATCCCAGTGCTACTGACATCACTTGGATCGAGTTCTATACTAAGTGTACCAAACGCTTTGGACCGCCTTGTGGCGCCAATCCTGAAGGGGACCTTGCCAAACTCACCCAAACACATGATGTCGAAACTTATATCGAGTTGTTTGAACAGTTGCTTGCCTGCACAGTTGGCATCTCTGTGCGCATGCAAGTTAAAATCTTCACAGTTGGAGGTTGAGTACCAGAATCCAGTTGATCTTGATTCGGCAATGATGTTGGCCCGTACTGTGAACCGCAAGTATGAACACCCAGAGACCAAATCTCGTTCCACTCTTTTGGTTCCATCTGCACAGTACATGCGGCCACCGACACCATATATGCTTGATCAATCCTTAAACCGACGACAATCCACACCGGGGTTTAAAAAGATCTCCCGCGCTGAGGCTGCCATATGCCGGGAAAAAGGTTTGTGTTACAACTATGATGATTCGTGGATTCCAGGGCACCGTTGTAAACGATTTTTTTATTGAGATTCTGGATGAGGAATCCTTAGATGAGCTAGATGAATATAAAACCGGTGTTGAGCCATCCCTGTCTATCTTGGCTATGACTGGGTTCAGATCTCCATCCACCATGCAACTGTTAGCATGTGTCTCTATGACCGTTCCATCACTATCTTGGTAGATTCGGCAACACTCATAACTTCCTGCACCAACGGTTACTTCCAACCACGGTGGTCCTATCTCAGGTTAGCAGTGTACTCCATGTACTTGTCGCTAATGGTGATCGTGTCCCCATAATTGGTACCTGCTCCATTCTCCCTTTTGAAGTCGATGGCAGACAATTCTCACCAGAGAATAAGTCCGTGACACCTTCCACTGGCCGGGTTCGATATGATCCTTGGTGTTCAATGGCTCCGTGGTTTAGGTTCCATCGTGTGGGACTTTGAGCAGCTCTCCATGCGTTTCCTGTGGCAAGGCCATCCAGTAGAATGGCAAGGACAGGCAACGGGTCATTCCATTCATGCCCACATGGCTGTTACCTCGCAGATGGAGACCCCGTCTCTCGATACAATGCTGAACAATTTATGTGACCTCTTTCGAGAACCCACCGGTCTCCCACCTCGTCGAACTCATGATCACCGTATTACATTATTGCCGGGCTCAAGTCCAGTGGTGGTTTGACCATACCGATATCCTTATTTCCAGAAGGATGAAATTGAAAAACAATGTTCTGAGATGTTAGAATAGGGGATAATCTAGCATAGCCGCTCTCCATTCTCATCCCCAGATTTATTAGTCAAGATGACACATGGCGTTTTTGTGTGGACTATAGGGAACTGAATGCCAAGACTGTTAAAGATAAATTCCCTATTCCAGTGATTGATGAACTGTTAGATGAACTCCATGGCGCCAAATTCTTCACCTAGTTGGACCTTCGCTCTGGTTATCACCAAATCCGCATGGATCCTAATGATGTCGAAAAAACATTATTATGAGCCCACCATGGTCACTTTGAGTTCCTTGTGATGCCATTTGGGTTATCTAATGCTCCATCTACGTTCTAGAGTCTTATGAACGACATCTTTGGGCCTTACTAGCGCAAGTTCGTATTAGTTTTCTTTGATGACATCTTGATCTATAGTAAGTCATGGGTTGAGCATGTTCATCACGTTCACCTTGTTGTTGAGATTTTACGCACTCACGAATTGTTTCTCAAACATTCCAAGTGTAGTTTTGGATCCCCGCAAGTTAACTACTTGGGACAGTTGATTCATGGTCAAGGAGTTGAGGTTGATAAATCCAAGATTCACGCGGTTTTTGACTGACTTACCCCAAGCACCGTAACTGCCTTGCGTGGTTTTTGGGGTCTTGCGGGCTATTACCGCAAATTCGTACAACGATACGGAGAAATTGCAAGACCACTCACCCAACTTCTCCATAAAAATGCCTTTGTTTGGTCCCCAGCAGCAGCTACCGCCTTCACTGACCTGAAGCAGCGTTTGTCTTCAGCCCCAGTATTGCAACTTCCAGATTTCACAAGAGAATTTGTTGTAGAGTGTGATGCTTCTAGTAGTGAATTTGGGGCCGTCTTGCAACAAGAGGGCTATCCCATTGCATATTTTAGTCGGCAGATTGTTGCCCGCCATTCGAAACTTCCGGCTTATGAATGGCAATTAATCGGTCTAGCGAAGGCAATCACCCATTGACGGCCCTATCTTTAGGGCAGAGAGTTTCTAATTAAGACTGATCATTTGAGTCTTAAATATCTATTAGAACAACGCCTCACTACATCACCACAACAGCACTGGCTAAGCAAGCTTATGGGCTTCACTTTCCGGATCGAGTACAAACCAGGGCGCTTAAATGTGGTTGCAGATGCATTGTCTCGCCGAGATGAACCTATAACGTTAGCCGCCGTCTCCATTCCATATACAACTATCATGGAGGACATACGCCTCGAACACGCCACGTCACCTGAAATCAAGGCTTTATGTGAACAGTGGATGGCCGGGGTCCTCAACGATGACTGGGCATATCGTGATGGCTTTCTCTACTTCCGCCTTAAGATTTTTCTCCATTCCACCTAATTCCTCATTCCCACGTTGATTATGGTGTTTCATGAGATGACCCATGAAGGTGTTGAAAAGACACTACAACAGTTGCGCCGAGAATTCTATTGGCCCAAAATGAAGCTCAAGGTGAGTCAGTTTGTTTAGGACTGCCTCACATGCCAACGCTATAAATGGTTAACATTACAACCAGCAGGGTTGCTTCAGCCGTTACCCATTCCACAACAAGTTTGGGCCGACATTTCCATGGACTTCATTGAGGGGCTGCCAAAAGTTCGGGGCAAAACAATCATTTTTGTGGTTGTGGATCGTCTCACAAAAGCTGCCCACTTTATACCACTGGCTCATCCATACATGCCTGTTTCAGTGGCCAATGTCTTCTTTTCTGAATTTTTTCGGCTGCAGGGACTCCGTGAATCTATAGTTTCTGGCCGCGACAAAGTTTTCGTTAGTCAATTTTGGCGAGAACTTTTCCGTTTGAGTGGCACTAAACTGAATTTTTCTTCAGCTTATCATCCCCAGATGGATGGCCAAACGGAGGTAGTTAATCGCACATTGGAAACTTTTTTACGCCGTCTCACAAGTGACTGCCCCAGGGAATCGGTTCGATGGTTACCTTGGGCAGAATTCTGCTATAACACTTCCTTTCACTCCAGTTTAGGAGACACTCCATTTCGTCTCGTCTATGGGAGAGATCCGCCGAAACTAATCTCTTATACTCCAGGAACAGCAAAATTGGAGGGAGTGGAACAAGAGTTAATCACCCGTGATGCTTTTTTATCTTCAGCTCGACGTCACTTGACCACTGCCCAACCTCGTATGAAATCTCAATATGATAAAAATCACAGGGAGGTTACCTTTCAACACGATGATTGGGTTTGGCTCCGGGTTCAT